CTAATCGTCAGAGACGAAAATGCCACTGAACCACTAAAAATCATACGAACAAGCTAAATTTTGTCAATTTTGGGACCCCAATGAAAATGCAAAAAAGTTTAAGACTTTTACCCCGGGCTTCGCGCTAAAACCCCCTTCGCAGGGGGGTAAAAACGCAAAAAATCGATTTACAATCTGTACCCCGTAGCAAAAAATGCTTCAGATAAAAAATGTAGCTGAGATAATTTTAAACCAAAAATGTTTATAAGCATTTTTTGTGTAGAATGAGTCTCTTAGGTCTAAAACGATCTAAAACATTTTAATTTTTTTTTTAATTATACTAGTACGTTTTTCAAAAGAACAAAACTTCTGCACTAAACTACACACAAAATCGTCTTCTTAAATACATTTCCTGTGAGATGTGATCGTTTGTAATGTAAAACATTAAATTCTGCATTTTTGATTAAATTTCAAAAGTCTCATATTTGTTACTACAACTCAAAATTGAAATTTCATGTCATAGATTTTAAAGATTGACAACAAGTTTATACGAGCTGGTTTACCCGGTCACGATAAACTTTTTAAAATAAGACCTCTCGTAGAGAACATACGTAAACAATTATTATTAGTTTCTAAAGAAGAGTATCTCTCTATTGATGAACAAGTCATACCTAATAAAATAAATGCCTACACCAAAAGAGTTAAAAAAACATGGTAGAGGTACTATGGTCGAGTAAACTGCTGTTATAGATGGAGTAGAAATCTCTTGTGTTTGTTGGTATGACAACAAACTAGTTACCATGCTCTCAACATACGTAGGTAGTTCTCCTAATGCTTCTACTGCTCCTACAGAGAGCGCTATTTTCGAGAAGCCAAAGAACATCGTGAAATTCCTTGTCCTAAATCAATAGATGTTTATACCAAGCATATGGGAGAAGTTGATCTATTGGATTACATCCTAGGGCTCTATAGGATTCAGTTACTCAAAAAAATGGTACAAGAAAATATTTTTTCACCTGTTGGACATGTACCGGGTGGTCCAATAAGCCGATGTCTCGGCTATATATCGGAAAGTATTCAAGTTATAACTTTAGGAGAAAAAATTCCTTAGTAAAAGTGGCCAAGAGAAATCGCTGGAAATAACTTTCAAGATTCTGGATTAACCGCTAGGGGGCGTAACTTGCGAAGAAAATTTTGAAAACCAATTTTTTGGGAATTATGTCCAATTATACCAAGTGTTAAATAAGTAAACTAGAAAGAGGCATAAATTCTGCACAAAGTTGTTCAAGTACTTTTTTTTTATTTTTTCAAATAAAGGGTGGGGGAGAGTGGGAAAGTATTTGTGGATAAATACCTATAACTTTGGTTTGGATCAACCGATTTTAACAAAATTAGTGTCATTAGAAAGAGTATGGATGAAATAATTTACATCTACTATAAAATAATTGCATTTAGTTTTAATTGTCGTAGATAGAGGGTACTTTCGAATAGAAAAAATTAAAATTTGTTTTTTTTTCGAAATTTTTAATGGAAACATCCATTTATTGTAAACTATAATGGAACTGGATTAAATTCGTAACAAATGGCGCAAACCGCATGTTAATAGCTTTTATTGAACTCGAGATATGAATAAAAACGCATAAACATAAGTAAGTATAGTATTGACACACCCTGTATTATAAATTACATTAAAAAATAAGTCAGTAGGTATTTTCAAATTTTTATAGCAGAAGAATCTTAATGTTGATACCTATTTTGTAAAAAACAGTTTTTTCGAAACTAAGTAGGCTACGACAATGAATTTGACGGGGAGTTCATATTGTTTATTTATTGACAGCAGTCAAAACCTTGTTAAGAAGTGCTACATTATAATTCGAATTAAAGATTGCACTTTTTTCAATAGATGTTAATATTGGTAATATTAGTAATTAATTATCAGTACAAATAATTCGTGATGAGTATATCAAATTGTATGATATGATTGGAGTTCATTTCGAATGTCACCAAAATGCCGCTATTGCCTCACGTATATATTTTGTAAGATATCCTGACAGGAGACATTATGGCAAAGAAGTATTTGAAAGAAAAGCAAAAAGATTAAGAGAAACTGGTAGTTTTTCTCGTCCTTGTTTTAAACGACGTAGTAGAGTTATGACCGAACATAATTCAATCAATGTTCTTGCTTTAATTCAACAGAATCCACTTATAAGTAGTCCGAAATGTCTACTTCTTTGCCACAATATCTCCTGCCAGGATATCTTACAGAATATATACGTGAGGCAATAGCGCCATTTTGGTGATATTCGAAATAAACTCCAATCATATCACACAATTTGATATACAATTTCAATATTAATATCTATTGAAAAAAATGCAATTTTCAATTCGAATTATAATACATATAACACTTCTTAACAATATTTTGACTGCTGTTAATAAATAAACAATATGAACTCCCTGTCAAATTCATTGTCGTAGGCTACTTAGTTTCGAAAAAAACAATTTTTAATCATATGAAATAACAATGGTCAAAATAGGTATCGACATTAAGAGTTTTCTACTATAAAAAATTTTGAAAGTACCTACTGACTTATTTTTTAATTTATTTTATAATACAGGGTGTGTCAATACTATACTTACTTATGTTTATGCGTTTTTATTCATATCTCGAGTTCAATAAAAGCTATTAACATGCGGTTTGCGCCATTTTGTTACGAATTTAATCCAGTTCCATTATAATTTACAATAAATGGATGTTTCCATTAAAAATTTTAAAGAAAAACAAATTTTAATTTTTTCTATTCGAAAGTACCCTCTACCTACGACAATTAAAACTAAATGCAATTATTTTATAGTAGATGGAAATTATTTCATCCATACTCTTTCTAATGACACTAATTTTGTTAAAATCGGTTGATCCAAACCAAAGTTATAGGTATTTATCCACAAATACTTTCCCACTCCCCCCACCCTTTATTTGAAAAAATAAAAAAAAGTATTTGAACAACTTTGTGCAGAATTTATGCCTCTTTCTATTCTTTGTTTCACGTTAAGAAAATAACATTACGCTTATGGAGATCAGTGTTGCCAAAACTCTCAGACACTCTCTTTTGCACGGATGTCCAAGATATTCCCTTTGCTTAATTTTTGAATTTTCATTTTCAATTAATATTTAACTGTAAAGTCAGAATAACTACTAAATAAAAGCCTTATTATCATTATGTAGTCAGAGACGACATAAAATAGCTGACATACGCACATCGTATTATTTTAAGTTGCAATTAGTAATTAGATATACGCATTCCAAGCGGTCAATATTTTCTACTGATTTATATGATTCATGGCATATCGTATTCTCACCGAAAAAGAAATAAACTGTCGTTACTATAATTAAAATAAGATAAAATAAAATTATCTTTTGTAAATACTATTTATCTAATTAAAATAATTTTCCCTACTTTTCATCTCTTGTTTCCAATGGACACTTTTGGTCAATTACGTTAAAAAACATTAATTTAATTCATGTTTGTGGAAACGAAAATACAAATTATACAACCCTAAATTGTGCTTGTGTGTGTGTGTCGTGGCAACGCCGCGTTGCTATCGTCCATAAGAAATACATGGTCCTATCTTCGCAATGTTATTTTCTAAACGTGGAACGTAGTATAGTTTACTTATTTAACACTTGGTATAATTGGACATATTTCCCAAAAAAACTGGTTTTCAAAATTTTCTTCGCAGGTTACGCCCCCTAGCGGTTAATCCAGAATCTTGAAAGTTATTTCCAGCAATTTCTCTTGGCCACTTTTACTAAGGAATTTTTTCTCCTAAAGTTATAACATGAATACTTTCCGATATATAGCCGAGACATCGGCTTATTGGACCACCCGGTACATTGCGAATGCATGGATGCTGTGGCTCTAAAAGAGTGTAAATTATATGCCATTATTTGACTTGCAAACAATATATTGCAGAGAATTTATGCAGTATGAGTAAGAATAGTTTGCCAAAGTAAAGGGGTCGACCATTATCAAATGTTAATTCACCAAGCAGTTCCATAACTGAAGTAGAAATTCCTAAATCCAAAAAGCGGCTACTTTGCGTCAAGATTATCCAAGCAATGAAGTACGTATAGAGGCCATGGCCACTTTCTCCAGTGGAACGATACAAGATTGTTGTGCTATAATGACTATAAATTTAGATCTTTTGTTAGATGTACTAAATGTAACGTATTTTTATGTTTAAACAAAGGTAGAAATTGTTTCGTAGAATTTCACTCCTAAAAAAAAATAACTACACTCACCGGCAAAATTAACGGAACACCCTAAAAATGAGACATGTTAGATGTCTCGAATTTCCTAAACCTGTTGTCCGATTTTGGTGATTTTTTTAGTATGTTATAGTTATATTATTTAAGAATATCGATGTAGTAATATTGTTGCTAGACAGGTCAGTGTCATTTTATACCGGGTGTAAAAATCATGCTGTGTTTTTTCCTTAAAGTTAGGAAAACCCTGTGGAATATTCTCATTTGAAATTAAAACTCAATTATAGCCTCAGGCTTTCTGAATATTTTCTTTTTTGATTCATTTGCTTGTGTTTGATAATAAAAAAGTTAGGTACGTTAACAACTAGCCATGTTTTTCATCAATGAATCCTCATTTTCTGCTCAGTTTAATAAAAAAGCCTAAAGTAGGCTATGAGAAGTTAACAATTTAATACACACACCGGCAAATTTAAAGCAACGAATTATTAATGCAATATTTCTTTATATCTGTATTTTATAGACTATATCTACATTGCTTTGAATGCTCCTTGTTACAAGAAAGTCTTAAATATTAAAATGTCAAATTAATTTGTTTATTTGTATTGTGTTTTCCATTTTACAGTCGTTCTGTCTGTTGATAACAAGTACAAACTTGTATTTAATTGATAAGTCAATTTGTTTGAGTTTGTTGGATGTGATTTTTCTTTTGACTTGTTCTAATCAGTGGTGTTCTTATTGCAAAGAGTAAGTAAAAATGGGTGATTTAATACCGACTGATATTGCTAGGGCCGTAACAATGGTCGAAAATGGTCGAACTTACAGGGAAGTTGCTGGAATATTTGGTAAATCACCATCAACCATCCATCGTTGTGTAAGTCGTTGGAGACAAACCGGGGAGTATGTAAGAAGAAGGTGACAAAGGTAGAAAACATTTAACCACGGTTGTAGATGATCGATTTATAACGTTGCAAACATTACGTAGTAGACGTCAAACGGCAAAAGTGAGCGCACAGTAGGAAGGAGACTTAAAGAAGCCGGTCTCAATTCATATGTGCCAATAAAAGCTCCCAGACTCCAGCGACAATGATAACCACTGGAGTCAAATTCTCTTTACGGACGAGAGCCGTTTCTGTGTAAATTATATCGACGGTAGGAAAAGATTGTATCGACGACAAGGAAAACAAAAATGCCATTTTCAATTTTACTACGACTGTACTTTTTGGTGGAGGTTCCATTATGGTGTGGGGCGGTATATGTTTGGGAGCAAGAACGGAGTTAGTGGTGATTGTTGATGGGGCATTAACAGCAGATAGGTATATCAGAGATATTCTCCAAGGCCACGATGAATTGGCCAGCTTGTTCGCCAGACCTGAACCCGATAGAGCATGTGTGGGATATACTAGGCAGAAAACTTTGGGCACGGATACCTGCTATTCAAAACAGAGAGGAAGTCAGAATTGCTTTGATTGAGGAATGGGAGAAACTGCCTCAACAACTGATAGATAGCGTTATCAGAAGTATGAGAAGACGAATAACTGCAGCTGTAAGGGCTCGTGGGGGAAACACACGCTATTAATGCCAAAAAAAATGCATAAAAAAACCAATTTAAGTTCAAACTGTACAATAAAGTTAATGTGTTTAAAATCCGTATAATGTTTGAGTCTGACATATTTGTTGTTTATTTCTTCTTAAACAGGTTTCATATTGTACTAACATTGTAATATAAATTCAAAATACTTCACAATGATATTATCTAAACAATATTAACAATATATAGACTAGTGAGAAAATACTCAGATTTTATGGTTGTTCCTTTAAATATGCCGGTGAAACTAAGCAGAAAATGAGCATTTATTGATGAAAAACATGGCTAGTTGTTAAAGTACCTAACTCTTTTATTATCAAACAAAAGCAAATAAATGAAAAAAGAAAATGTTAAAAAAGCCTGAGGCTATAATTGAGTTTTAATTTCAATATTTTGTATAAGCTAGAATATTCCACAGGGTGTTCCGAACTTTAAGGAAAAAACGCAGTATGATTGTTACACCCGGTATAAAATGACACTGACCTGTCTAGCAACAATATTATTACATCAATATTCTTAAATAATATAATTATAACACTAAAAAAATCACTAAAATCGAACAACAGGTTTAGGAAATTCAAGACATCTAACATGTCCCATTTTTAAGGTGTTCCGTTAGTTTTGCCGGTGAGTGTAGTTTAAGTGCATAAGAAGCCATATTTGGACCTGTCTATTTTTGTACATTTTATGTTTATTGCATAGGAATGTGGCTTCCTATTGCTTATTGGCTTATTTTTTATTTTCTTAATAGAAAATTAATTGATATGAGGTTGAATGCTCGAATAAATGAACTTTGAAAATGAATGCCTTAATTTTCAAAGTTAATAGAAAATTGTTGTAAATTCTTTGGTAAATATACTTCTTTATAACAACAAAACCTTAAATTTTGCAAAAACTGTTTTTTCATATCTAAAACATAATTCATGCAGTAGAGGTTTAACACCTTTATAAAAACTAAGTTTATTCTCGGCAAAATACAAAAACTGCATACGAAAGCTGCACTCTTTGCCTTTAAAACGCATCTTAATTTTTGTCGATAGGACATTTGGATCAACATTTTTACCGTCAAGCTGATACAAATTTTATTTAAAATTGATTTCGCGCAAGTAACTGACATGCACAATCGACGGTCGCTTCAAGCCTTGTTTCTAAGAGAACGGTTCATTCTACACAAAAAATGCCTATAAACATTTTTGTTTAAAATTATCTCAGCTACATGTTTTATTTGAAACATTTTTTTCTACGGTGTACAAATTCTTGGTAAATTGACTTTTTTGTGTTTTTACCCCCCTGCGAGCGGGGTTTTAGGGGAAGCTCGGGGGTAAAAGTAGCAAACTTGTTTGCATCCTTTTTGGGCTCACAAAATTAATATTCTTTGCAATATTCAGCTTGTTCGTATGATTTTTAGGGGTCAACTCTCTGACGACTGGACTATGAGTATATGTTCGCCCAATACCGGCAACCTTTCATTTTAGATTCATCCCAGGTGTCGATCTATGTTCCCGAAAATTTCCTTACTACATGACGAATGAAAAATAAATACCTACTGCTATTTTATACTAACGTCGGTGCTTAAAATAACATTGGTTTGCATATGTAATTCAGGATAATTCTAATACATATTCTACACCAAGAAAATAGTTATCAAGCAGGGTGGGCTTTTAAAGTCAGTTGTATGGAACTGTTTGTTCCCGACGTTTGATATGCAACTGTAGAAGACATTATCACAGATCATACAGCAATGGTCCCCGCTTTCTTTCACTCACTGATGAATATCTGCCACAGTAGCATACAAAGCGCCACAAATAAACAATTCCAGACCAGCAAAAATTCCGACATTGCAACATTACAAAGAAAAAAGTTATTTGTGTTGGAAATATAAAAAAACATAAAAGCACAATAAATATTTATATGGCAATAATATACTTAATAATTATAAACAATTTTAAATAAAGAAGCTTGTGACCAAATTTAAGACAAAACAAGAAAAGTATGAAATACAAGTCCAAATTATATAAAAAGAAAATACTTTATTGAGAATCTACACACTTGTTCAACATGATGTTTCTTATAATAAAATAAAGTATTGCTTTAATAGTTTATATAAATTACAAAGTTAAATACGTGATATTTCTGATTACCGAATGTACAGATTGATATGTCTACAAGGCCGACTGGTTCACATCGGTTTAATTGATTTTATTAGTTTAATACTTCATTCAACCAAATAAATAAGATTTCCACCCAAAAAATCACGAGCTAAGTTAACTGTGCCTTCACTATGTCTAATTGCAATAGAAGCTAATAGAGAATGAACTAAAAGTCTAGTTCTAGGTTTTGCTAAACATCAAAACACTGGATTATACTATAGAAACATTAGTTGCCTGAAATTTATTCGTTAAAAATCTCCAGTTTAAACAAAATATTTAATATGGTAACCTTTCAAAATTGATCTACTTTCAACATATACTAAAAATAGCAGACATACGGGAGATGTTGTTCGTTCTTTGTGTTAAATTATCAAATATTATATTGGTCAGTCTATAGAGTTACTGGTAGACTGCGAAAACAATCGATTTAGTTTGCATAGTAATTTTTGCAGAAATACCTATATTAAACAAATCGGAGAAGAGGATGAGCTAAGCTCAGGTGTTAGGACTATGCGAAGAAAGATTTGAACAGGGGGATGGAGAAGACAGGCACTTCACAGAAGATTTTTTAAGATAGACCAAGGCTAACAAAGGACTGTAGCGCCATCTGTTGGTGATGAAGTGAAGATGACATTTTGAGAAATGATGTTGCACAATACAAAGAGAAATTCTGCTATAAAAATTAATAAGAGTCATTTGGAGCACTGCCACCACTACCCTCGGACGTTATAATACCATGACCGCTTTTAAAAATGTCGGATCGTTGAGCTGTCAAATTTCATTACACCTGTAACATCTAAGCTTTCATCTGCCATCTATCAAACGTCAAGTGTTCTCATCTAACAAGCCATGAAGCTTCACTGGAAAGGAAAGTAGCGTAGTATCACACACATAGTCGAAATACTGAAGTGCAAACAGCAAGTACAATATGTACAGGGCAGTAGAGAATTATTTATATAAAACTTGGTTCTATAATAGAATTCAATGGATAAGTTTACGACGATATCATTTTATTTACACCATATATACAATATAACCTCAAATTTACTCATACTAATGCAATGATGGTCATTACATATGGATTTATTGTCAATCAACTAAATTAGAACTGAAAATTAAATAGGGGGAGGCTAATAAAACAACAGTTTTACAGTAAAATAAAACTATAATATGGTAATCATTTAATATTTGACGAAAATCGGTTGATATTGTAAAAAAATTAGAAATGTTTTATAAAAGTCACATGTTATACCTTCAACATTCGGGTAAAATAAGATATATGAACAAGATTATGATATATGACAACATTTACAAATCAATTCGTATTAAAAATATTTATATATGTTTACTATTGTTCTTTTTAAGGTCCCTACATATTATTTCATGCCGATAGATAACACAGAATCGCAATTTAGCAGTAGCACTAGGACTAGTACATTCCTACAGGATTATTTGATAACTCAACATGCCCAAACTCAAAATTTCGACTATATGAAAAGTTTATTTCCATATTAAAGTAACAGTTAAATCAAAAATATTATAGGTTATAGGTCACGTTTCTCCGCAACAACTTCAAGAATCAATGTGCGAAAGAAAATTAGGAAATATTTAACAAAAAACCAGTAATACAAGGGACATATAAAACTTAATATTGAATTTATTCATGTGCTGCTAAATTGAAGTAAATACTTCATTTACGAAAGAGCCCATACAACAACAGCTTCTTTTCGACCAGATTACTTCGACAGACAAGAGCTGCTAGACAAGTTCAAGTAGTATCTAAAATTTTAACGTCTTTCAATTTAGAATTCAATAAAATAGGAAATAAATAGGCCAGACAATTTTATCAGATCAAAAATTTGTTCAGACAGAGAAAGAAAAGGAGGGAAAGAAAAGCTATAATATTTACAATTCGCTGTAATATTTAGTCAGTAGTATGAAGAAAACAGGGATCGCCCCAAGTGATAAAAGGGGAAAACATGGAAACTACCACAGACTTGACGACGAAATTAAAAAGAAAGTACGCGGACACATCAACTCATTCAAGGGACGGACCAGCCATTATAGTCTTCACGAGTCAACCAAGCTGTATTTTTAGAACGAAAAGTTTCCTTTACTTTAAAAAATGTCTATCAGCTCTTAGTCTATAAAAGGCTGTGGATATAGAACAATCAACAGATGTATCTACCGCCTGTTCATATCTTGGACTTCCAATTCTGTATAGCTATATCTATTTACAAAGCAATAGTACAGCCAAGTGTATGTAATTCGCAGAATGACTAATTTTGTGTAGAGAAAGATATTTGAACAGAAACCCTTTTATACATATAATGCGCGACGAAATATGATCAAAGATAATATCATATTACCTTCTGTAGTAGAGAAGATAAAGGAGAAAACTACATCAGATTTAACATACTATAGAGCCACAAGCAAAAAGTATACATTAAAAAACTCAAACCATGATATCAAATACGAGTATTTTAATATCTTTTGATGTGAACTGTACCAAGAAGAACTCCATATACTGTAACATTCAGTAATTTAAGACATACTTATCGACTACATGTAATCATAATAATATGTACAAGTCAATAATATTTACATTTTTGTTTTTTTTATTTTTTGTGTTTAAAAAAATATTATTTCAACTGTCAATATTTTAACAAGTACTTAATTAGGTTTTTCACGAAGTAAATATTTCATATTATACCAACATTCTATAAAATGAAATTTTAAACTTAAAAGTATTCTGAAATTTGTATAGGGTAATGGTGATGGGCGAAATTAGGAAGTACTCCAAAAATATAAAAACTTTTAAATTCTTTTAAAGTGTCAATCAGTTCCATTTAGAGCACCGTTTTTTAAACATTTACCAACATTTAGTAATATTTATATTTGAAAGGTAAAGTGTGACCTTTAAAATATTAAAATTTTTATTTAGAACTACAAAGAAACTATCTACTGTGTAGTAAAGATACAGATACATTATTTTCGTTTAACATAATTTACAGATAGATGTTTGTAACATTGTTAGCTACCTTGATCGAGTATTGATGCTGTCTCTCAACTCGTAAATTTAAAACGTAAAATAATTACAATCCAGTACATGCACCCACTGCTGACAAAGATGAAGAAACCATAGATGCTTTCTGTGAACAAATTGGCGATGTCTTAAAGCTAACTAAAGGCCATGATATAAATAATATAATAGGCGATTTAAACACTAAAGTGGGCCCACAATAAGTGGAGAATTGTGTGGGGAGATATGGACTCGAAAAGAGGAATGAACGTGGCAATAGGTTGGTTGATTTTTATTTCTGATCAACGAGAAATTCATAATTGCACATACCTTGTTCAAACTACACACTTATACACGTGGAAGTCACCAGCTGACAAACAAAATAGTAAGAAATCATATAAATTATATTATCGTCAACAGAAAATATAGAAACTCTATAATATCATCCAAAACTTATCCAATAGCTGCCATATCCTCCGATCACGACCCGGTTGTTTTGTCGGTAAGAGTGAAGTAAAGAATGTAAAGTACCCTAGCTTCAAGAAAACCATGGATACAAGGCAGCTCAAAGAAGACGATATATATGGAAATATGGAAATGAAACTTTAAATAAACGAAAACTTGAAGAAAATTAAATAAACAAAAATAATAATGCGGAAACTTTTGACCAAAATGGGGAAATGGGGAAAAATTCAACATCATGCCCTTGTGTTAGTTGGAAAAGAAACACTCAAACTACTTGGAGAAAAAGAAAACCTTAGATGACAGTAGAAATTCTTGAACTTATGGAAGAACGAAGAAAACATAAAGCGAAAAACCTGAATAAATACAAAGAAATTCAAAGAAACATCAGAGAGAAAATTCGAGAAGCAAAAGAGAGGTGGCTCTACGACAGATCCAAGGAAAAGGCAAAAAATCAAAGAAATTGCAGATTCTAGAAAAAACACAGGGACGAATATTCTTAAAAATGATAAAGGGGATATTATTACTAATGTGAAAGAAAGATTGTGCCACTGGATCAATTACATCCAACCAGTGGCGTACCCAGGGGGGGGGTTTGGCGGTTAGACCCCCCAGAACCCTCTTCCGACACTGTTATTCACAAATTTTAAGTACTTAAAATGGTGGAGGTAGCATAAAAAAATTTCGGTGCCCAACCAAAACCCCCCTCCCCCCAGAGGAAAATTCTACGTGCGCTACTGCATCCAACATCCAGCAACTGTTTCGAATTATTAAAACTCATCGACAAAGATGTTTTTGATGTAATGATTTAATTATTTTTTCTAATGTATCACACTGCCACAATATCCAGACAATAGCTGCAATCAATCTTTGTAGCAATTCCTAAAAATTCAAGTGTAACAAACTTAAAGTCACACATTTAAAACATTTTTGAAAATAATACACAGCAGAATTGTTAAAATTCATGAATATGAAATTATTGACACACAATTTGGCTATAGAAATAGTATGGGTACAAGAGATGCTTTGTTCGGCTTGAATGTACTGGCCTAAAGATGCATGGACATGAATAAGGACATCTACTTATGTTTTGTATACTTTAAAAAGGTATTTTATAAGGTTCAACATTAATAGCTTGTAGATATATTAAAAAGCAAACATACTGAGAGTCGTTACATGAGAATTATATCTAATCTATATTGGAATAAAACTGCCAATGTACGAGTTGACACCCAGAGCAGACAAAACATCAAAGAAAAATCTGAGAAGACGAAGAAGTAAGAGAGTGGTATAAATGTAGTAGTGCAAAACTATTTAGAGCCAAAGATGAACAAAATCCAACAAAAGTTGTTGGTGAAAAAAGCACATCGAATCGAATGGTCCCTTGTTTATTTGATATAAATGGACATGTAGCTACAGTGCCGTTACAAGAACGTAAGCCTGTCAATTCTGAATGGTATACAACCATTTGCTTGCTAGAAGTTGCTAGGGAAATTCGGAAAAAGAATAAGAAATGACGAATCATCTTTCAAAATCATCCATCAAAACATCGAATTAACGAGTCATCCGCCGTACAGTCCTGATTTGGCACCCAATGACTTCGTTTTATTCCAGCACATCAAAAATAAATTGGTTGAAGCGTTCAAAACCCATGTTTTGGAGTTACCTACATCTATGTGGAAAGAGTGCTTCAAAGATTGGTTCAAACCCATGCAAAAAGTGTATCAATAAAGTGTATAGCAATTAAGTGTATTTCGAATGATTTCGATAAAGAATATTTTGAAAAGCAATAAAGTCATTTTCGTCCATAAATATATAGCGACCACTCTAAGTAGCATAAAATAAAAAAAAAAACAAAGGGATATCAACTCAAACCTAACCTAAACACGAGCCTTCGTGTGGACATGTCAGAAAGGAAAATAAAGTAGAATTGTGTTTGAAAAATAAAAAACACATGCAAATAAATAACGTTAACACCTATAAAGAAAAAGAGAAGCGTTGATAAAAAATCTGGATCTAACTGAAGACAGAAACCGCAAAAATACAGATAAAAACCAGTACAAATCGTTACAAAAAGCTCAGCAAATGCAAAAAGAAATATAATCGATTATGAGCGACAAATGCATCGACTACCGAACAAAAAGCCTCGTGCCACACACTGAAAATACTTTGAAGCTTTCTTTATAGATTTTAACAATGCTTTTGACAATGTTCGCCATACTCAACTCATTGAAACCTTTTTAAATAAAAATTCACCAGCGTGATAAATATCAAATTTATACGTGTTGGAGTTAAGATTTCAACTTACAAGTTAAAAAACAAAAGCAGTAAGGCAAGTTATGTATAATGTTACTATTTAATGTATACTTGGAAAAAATTATGAAAAATGCTTTAGAAAATAAAACAGTGGATTTTCAGTGACCTTTCAGAGTCAACAATATTCGTCGGGCAGACAATACCGTAATAATTATGTCAATTTAAAGTACCTGGTGAGATTGATGACTGAGCAATTATAACTTAACATTCAAACGATGAAGTTAATGCGGATTAGTAAAGACACCAATTAAGATGAAGCATTGTAATCAATCTTTGAGGGGATTTACCACTGAAAGTATCTGAAAAATTTGAAAAAAAAAGTAAGTAGAAATAAAAAAAAGTTTTTTTAATGCTTTATAAAAGGTATATAATTAAAAATATCCTCTTCGGCATAATAAAGGATTTTGAAATAAAACTTTTGTGATTTATGGTATACAGTGTACAGCCAACTACAGGAATTGCATTTTCCTGGTGGATTAGAAATAAAGAGAAAAGCAGGGGAAATGCAATAAATGGTGAAATATACAGCATCATACGGACAAAGTATCGGAAGAAGACATATATTCTGACTCAGAAATTTGAGCAGTTCCGATGATAACCAACTTCGCAACGAAAATGGTACTTGATAAAGAAACATATCAAATATGACGATAACTTTCTTGGTAGAGCTATGTTAATGACGTCATATTTAGGATCCACTTTTGTTTTAATTTACGTTTTTGAATATTTTCATAGAAAGTTCCGCTTCTACACATTACCTACAAAAACAACTTTTAATTTTGAAATTTTGACAATATTAATATTTCTTTTGCTTCCGTACGCTTTATTCATATCATTTGTATTTGATGCTTGTTTCCTATTAATCACTTTATGAACAAAAGTATTTAAATAAAGTTGCTAATAAAAATATAGCTTCTCCTCAAATTACTTCGTGAAATCTTAAAGATGCACTCATATTCTTGAAAGTATTTTGAGCACTTTCAGTTTCTTTGCTAATAATATACTTATATATTTTTCATTTAAACTATATTAAAGTTATATCAAACACAACTATTTACTTACATTCAGTCTTTTCGATAAAGAACAAAGTTGAAATGCATTTTAAATATTACAAGGAATCACTAGAATAGTCGAATCGTGCAGTTGTTTACAAACTGGCAACCATATTAAAATTTGAATAAAAATCAACAGTTCCAAGATAATTATCAAAAATGAATATCGATTATCATGGCTTATTAATATAATTTTTATACTTGGTAATACAGTACTTCCAAATTTCTACCAACTCACCAAATATCTAATAGGCACTTTGAACAATTGTCATTGAATGCGATCATGACTTGCCACTGCTATTCTTGGGTGTGATGAGTAACACGGGACTCGAAGGCCTCGAAGTCTTCTTGGTCACTGTCTGCGGTATGACAGTCAACGATTTCGGGATTCTAGGAATATAAGATTTCTCGTTTAACTTAGATTCTAATTTTTCCACCTGTTTGTCAAGTTTGTCTAGAATATTCTCACCTTCTGGAACTAGCTCAGGAGGTTCCAGCTTGGGCGGAGCGGTGACAGTCGCTGTTTTAGATATAACTAATCCCTTTCTAGGGGTAATTGACTTAAGAACGGAATTATGGGTGACAAATATCGATTTCGGTTGGGCTTCTTGAAGACGCTGTTGCTTCATCTCGAAACTTCGTTTAATGGCGCACATCTTCTTGTAGTCTTCGAGGGTTATGTGGTACGGTTTACCACAAGAAATTACCTGCAAAATTAAATAATTATTAATGAATCTAGCAGTCAAAGTGCCATTGTTGACATTTTGTTAATAAAACCAAATTAATTAATTAATCTCAAACAATCTACTAACCTGAACCAAACCAGTCTTTCTTCCTTGCTTCTTGGTAGGATCAATTGGTATCAGATTAGGTCTCCAATTCTTGGTGATAGGGAACTTAATTTTCTGAGGCTGAGGTACTTTGACTAAAGGCGCTATCGGCCGAGAAGTTCCGGGATGCAAGGAAATCAAGCCAGGCGGGGCTCCCATCTTCGGTCTGATCGGTTGTAGTGTTGCCGTGGATGGAAGTAGAGGTGGGCTGTTGAGCTGAGATATAGTTAAAGGTGTACTTTTCGCATGATTAATTGGTACACTGGTTACTGACATCGCGGTACTGCCCACTGGTTTGGGATTGTTCGGGTTCTGGATGGAGGAGATAGTGAAAACTGAGCTGTTCAACGCTAAAACAAAAATACAAAACATGTTTATCTCAGTATTAATCTTATTTAAGAAACAATTTCAACTTCCCTTCTTACGGAGAATATTAAGTGTTACTGTTTTCGTATTAAAACAATTTAGAGATAGAGAGACAGAGGGAGAAAATAGTGAGAGAAGAGAGGGAACATATTTTGATAAGTTTATCTAAACATTTACATTACAATTGAGCTTAAGCCAAGACTTTTCTAGATACACGCGTGCATTTGGGTCAGATAATCCACTAGTGATACTATCTAAAGGTTCCATCCCTTTCCTGCAGGTATAAGCTGACTGACTTCCAAATTCCGGTCATCTATGAACATATTTCCTTCGTATACTCGACACAAACTGAAAGACCCAATGATACAAGCAGAAATAAGTAATGAAATAAAAGCACAAATTCAAATATTGACGACAAACATTGCCGAAGATCTAACATCAACATGGAATACGATTACAAGTGCTGTAACAGACATCATGAAAAACAACTTAGGGTACAAACGAAATAACAAGAGGCAAAAATGGATGACAGAAGAAATACTATTACTAATGGAAGAACGACGAAGACACAAGAATAACCAAGATGACAGCAATATGTATGAAAACATTAACAGGCAAATAAAAGCAAAAATAAGAATAGCAAAAAATGAATGGCTTAAGCAACAATTTATCGATCTAGAACATTTACAACGACAGCACGACGACCGTAATTTACATAAAAAGCTTAAGGAGACTGCTGGAATATACAGAAAACGAAGACCAACTACCATAGTTAATCAGGATAACCAGATAGTGCTGGGTGAAAAGGAGAAAATTGATATATGAGAAAATTATATCCAGGAGCTATTCCATGACGAAAGACCCATGAGTGAAGTTTATACAGACGACCAGCTGACTGGCCCTTCAATCACCAAAGAGAAGATAGAAAAGGCAATATTAAATTCAAAAAACAATAAGGCACCTGGACCAGATGAAATCCCGTCAGAAATACTCAAATTACTGGATGAAAGGGGAATTTCAGCACTACACAAAATATTTAACTTAATTTATGAAACTGGCGGCTATCTTCAGCAGTGGTTACGCTCTACCTTTATTCCCCTGCCCAAGAAAGTCAATGCAAAAAGATGTGAGGATCACAGACTCATTAGCCTGATGAGTCACACTTTAAAGGTATTCTTAAAAATACTACATCAAAGATTATACAAAAAATGTGAATGGGACATCAGTGACTCCCAGTTCGGGTTTAGGCAAGGTTTAGGAACACGAGAAGCAATAGTAGCAACACAGGTGCTGGTCCAAAATTGTTACGATCAGAAGAAGGATGTGTTCCTATGCTTTTTAGATTACCAAAATGCGTTTGATCGTGTCCAACACCACAAGTTAATGCAGATCCTCAAGAAAGTTGATATAGACCAAAAAGACATAAGAGCATTGAAAACTTGTACTGGCATCAAACGGCAGTTAAAAATAGACAATTCTATATCCAAACCCATACATCTAAGGGGCGTTCGACAGGGATGTGTGCTTTCACCTCTTTTATTTAACATTTATTCGGAAGCCATATTTCAAGAGTCTTTGGAGGATGCAAAGATAGGAATCAAAGTGAATGGAGTATTGATCAACAACATACGATATGCTGATGATGGTGTCTTAATTTGTGACAACATAGTCGATCTTCAAAAACTTGTCACTATTATCGGAGAATACAGTAAACGAATGTGATTAGAGATTAATACCAAAAAAACCAAATTCATGATCATCTCCAGAAACTTGGATGCACTTGAAAACTCCACCATAACACTGAATACTAAATCCATTGAAAGAGTGAGTAAATTTAAATACCTGGGATCGTGGCTTTTTGAAGACTGGGCATCGGACAGGGAAGTAAAATGTCGCATTGAGCAAGCATCGACAAGCTTTCGTAAAATTCAAGAAAGTACTGACTTGTTCAGAGTTCGATCTTCAACTGAGACTAAGGTTTACTAAGTGCTACGTGTGGTCAGTGCTGCTATATGGCGTAGAGGGCTGGACACTCAAAACGAGGGATATAAACGATTAGAAGCTTTCGAAATGTGGCTCTATCGCCGTATCCTAAAAATACCGTGGACAGCGAAAATCACAAATATAGATGTCCTCAAAATAATAAACCAAGAACGCCAACTTTTCGAAACCATCAAGAAAAGGAAAACGGCGTATCTAGGTCACATCATGCGAAATGAAAAATACCAGTTCCTCCAACTTATAATCGAGGGTAAAATTGAAGGCAAGAGAGGAATGGGACGCAAGAAAATGTCCTGGCTCAGAAACATAAGGCAATGGACAGGGATTAACGACATAGAATCTCTGATACATATTGCAAGAAATAGAGAATTAATGGAAAATGTGATCGCTAACATCCATTAGTGGATTTGCACCTGAAGAAGAAGATACTCGACACGTTTCGCTTTGGTGCTTTAAATACTGTAGTATAGGACTAACAAGCCGCCAGACTAACGTCGGTCTATAGGAGGCGTTACTGGTATATGAGGGTTAGGAAGAAATAATGCATAAATTGACAACACTGCTTAGTGAATCACACAATATTAATTCAAATGCCTAATTGGTCATAAAATTCTACAGTTTTTTTTTATGGTCTCTCTTTGGGTTCGACGCTTATCCTAACATATAATCCAGGGCCAGAAAGGGCGAGGAACTCCTAAGCGAATTGCCTAGTTCAGAGGTTCTCAAAGTGGGTGACGCGTTTTATTTGGGACATTTTTTTCATTCCAGAATAATGGAAAATTGGCTGAAATCTGGGTTTTTGAATAGGAAATGTAGTGAAGTCACTACTGAAGCATCTGAATCAACTGATTCAGTCACAACTAGCAGAGATGGAGAAGATGCAAATGTTCACGAGATCCATTCGAGTCGAGTTCATCTAAGTTGTTCTCCCCAATTCGTGGAAATGAGGTTCCTTACCTTCGCTTCAAGGGATGGTGTGCCTCGAAATATTTTTAGACATAAAAGGGTGTCGCGACTAAAAAAAGTTGAGAACTGTTAGTTGGTATCGGATTTTCTTAACGAAGATCAACAAGCAACATGTGCGGAATATATTAGGGGGCAAAGATTTACGCAATCTTGCATTGTGAAAGAGAAATTGACATGACGGCTCTTATGTTAAGATATATTCTAGGTTAATGTGAGAATGAGGAGAAGAACTTGATATACTGGCGAAACATAACAATGTCACACCGGTATGGATTCAACAACACAACATAACTCTTACTGGGAAAGTAACAAAATGTATGTTGAACAGACATGAGCTAACAGGGCCGAAGTACTGCGGAAAGAAACAATTTTATTGCGACATTTCTTTACTGAGTTTTACTTAGTTCTGTAGTTATACTGCATATTAGTCGTAAACATTAATACGATAAACTATACTTATAGAGGTCATTTGACGTTATACTCTCAATAATAAATAAACATTAGTTTGGTTGCATAACCTATTTCTTACTGTTTGTTTGCTTACCTGGTGGAATAACTCCGCTGGATATAATACTACTGCTTTTGCTGGACATTTTATTGAAAGGAAGCATACTTAAAGGTTGAATATTACCAGCACTGGTAGGTATGTTGTCGTAAGCTCTTAATCTATTATGCACAGATTCACTATAATTGATTGAATGGTGACTAGCTTTAGGTGATAGTACCAGATCACCATTTCTGTAAATAAATAAAAATAAAAGTAAGTAAAGAAAATACCAATAACTCTCTTTATTTGTGTAAGTTTACTAAACTAACACTGAAATTTCTAAAACTATAATAAAGTGAGAAATTTAGCTTACCTAAAGTACTTCTCTAAAAGAATGAGATGCCTCAAAAAGCTGCTTTGGTTGCCATATGGTTTCTGCAATTCTTGCCATAGTCTTTTCGTTTCCTCATCATACTGAATAACGGAACTGCACTTCTCCCACCCATCTGGAGTTTTCTCCTTGACGTTATTAAATTCTATGTTGCCTGTTAAAGAAAGGTCATCTTCCCCTGGAAATAGTTGTCGAACTGAGACCGAGGAATTGAACCCAAGTTTGCTAGTGCTCGCTTCGCCGGCTTTGGATTTTTCGGTCTTTACGATTTTTACTATTTCTACGCCTTCTCGATGCTGCAAGTTGAAAGTTGCGTTAATACGATATTGTTGATAAGTATTTGCACCCCTAACCTAGTTCCACTTCAGGTAGAACTTAAAATTATACTTAATATCAAGCTAAATGCATATTATGTTGACCAGTCCAGTTGACCAAGTGCCCGCTTGCATCAGTGACATCAGAGCTCGCAAGCACATCAGCCGAGGTCAGCGTTAAAATGGACGCGAAAAAGTCAAAGTGCCTGATTAAATATTTGCTGAAAAAATATTTAATCTAAAACGCGAGTTTAAATATGGAAGGTAAATCCGTGACAATAAACATGGTGGAAGTCCCTCCATTACAACTAAAGAAAATGCCAAAAAAGTCCACGATACAATTCTAAATTGAAGGGTCTCTTTGCGTCAAATTGGGAAGAAACCAGGCTTTTCATTGCATGTAGTTCAAAATATTTATACTATGATGGTTTTATATTTCTATACGTATGTTCACCGAGTTTTTGTCTTCAGCTGATCAGCATTCGCCAAGGGCTTTTGGACACTTTTGGCGGGAATAACAACTTTATTAGTCCGTACGTGACAATGAACGAAACATGGGTACACCATTATGATCCAGACACAAAAGTTCGGAGAAAGCATTGAAAACATGGGGGTTCACTCCCATCCCGCAAGTTCAGAGCTGAGGCGTTGGCCAACAATATTGATTATTACTAAGAGTAAGGAGCTGATATGACAGACTACTACTATGCGCAACTAATTCCAAAATTGCGTGCGAAACGTTAACGTGTTTCCATCAGGACAACGCATCGGCACACAAGTCTTGGTTGCAATATCTGCCATTCCTGATACAGATTTTGAAATTGAAGCACCCCTGTATTCTCCAGATTTGGTCCTGAGTGACTGCAGGCTGTTCCCATAACTCAAAGAAGTCCTAGGGGGAAACATTTGTTAACCAGTGATGAAATGAGGTGTGCTATAAATGAATGGTTTGACACAGTAAAAGCAAATTTTTAGGAAAACGTGTGTTGAGCTAAGAAGGGATTATGTTGAAAAATAAAGATGTCAACATTTTCTTGTGCGTATTATTTCTAGGGAGTAGGGAGAAAATTCATACATATTTTCTCCCTAAATACTATTACAGCATTCAATGTAAGTAAGGACAATAATATATAGGTATATACACGGTCTGGGATTAACATTGTAGCCGATAAAAAGAGAGAATTTTACACATGTATTTTCTTCGCATTTTTATACCAGATGCAACACCGGACCAATCAGATGACCTATTTTCCTGCTCAATCAAACTTAGTTCCAAAACTTCGCTCCAAATAATCTGACGATGCTACTTGGAATCGGCTATAAATTAGAACGCATTCGACCCACAAATTCAGTCTAGTTTACTTTTAGGCTGTGGCGTTTTGTAACAACATGTATAGATTTTGAAAAATGACATAAAATGACATGTCTAGAATTCGAACAATTTGATCATACTTACCATATCGGTTAACTTTTTAATCATATTAGGCGATTTTCCATCTCTCTTCCCTTCCGTGTCACTTCCGATTTCCATCGCGATGGCGGGTATAAGCGTATTGTAATCGATTCCGTTGTAATCATCGCTCGGCGATTCTGACCTCGACTGACTGTTTGTGTCAGTTGAAGGTACCCTTTCTTCTCTCGCGGAAGGTTCTTCTTGATCTTCTACATCCGTACGATCTAGAGCAGCTGGATTTTTAACCAGTTTTTTCTTTCTCTTCAGATTTTCTATCCTTTCTGCTCTGCTGGGTACGATAATTGGTTCCTCAGCTTCTGATTCATCCATTGGTACAATGTCATTGAAATGGAGAAGTCTGTAATTAAATTAATATTGACAAATGAAGTTGACAGATGTTATCTTATTAAATTTTACAGTAAAAAAAATATTCATATATTAAATATTTACTTGTCATCTAGAACCCATTCAGAGACATCGTGTCTGGGTCAACAATCCCCAAATTGGGAGTTTTACGATGCCATGCATTATAATCTGTTAAAAACTTTAACATCACATCAACTTATTAACAAAGATGTAATAAATAACGAATTTTGTAAGGCAAAAACTAAAAATCCAAAGACTTATACTTGTTTAAAAGCAAAATTCAGATTCTCACCTAAATCTGTGCCTTCTATTCTAAGATTTACAAAGTAAACAGACGATGAATAAACCGACATGGAAATTCTAAAATTGCTCCACATATTGCTAAATACGTTTGAGATTTAATTTCAACGACCTTATTAGGTCTCCTCAAAGCGACTTAAGCAGAAGCTTTAATAGAGTACATTAAATTTTAAATTAGATATACACACTATAAATGGCAACACTGCGAGCCTTCGACTTTTCCAAGAACCTCTGTTGCCCCGTTGCTCAATAATTTGTCATTATACAGTGGTAGTTCAAAGCAATAAAAGCGTAGATTTTTAATGTATTTTTGTAAACATGTCTGTTTATACGCCCGCAGAAAAGGTTCAAATAATAAAATGGTTTTATGGTGGCAATTCTGGACAACAGTGTGTAGATTATTTATTTTTGTTTTTTTTTGAGGGAGACCAATTTCTTGCGTAGTCAGTTCATAATATTGTTAAAAATTGAGAGTTGTTATTGCCTCAATAATTGCAGAAAAACGAAAGTATGAAAAAAGCACGGTTATAAGAATTTTAAATATTCTAAAACGCAGCTTTATCCAGACGACTACTTTCGAAGAATGGAGTTTTGTGAAACTATAATAATGAAGGCTAATGATGAACCCAATTCTATTAAAAACAATTTATTTACTGATGAATCTTCAGTTTCGTTAGTATGGAGAGACAATCCTTCCATTACGAGGTATTGGGTGCGGGAAAACCAGCACAGAAGTGTTACATAAGTGTGTGATGGGTGTGTGCACAGAAGAAGGGCAACTTAAATAGTAGAGTATTCCTCGATTTGTTACAAAATCATGTTCTTCCCGCTATTCTCAATATTCCTGATGTAAATCTGGAAAATGTTTGGTTCCATCAAGACGGCTGTTCAGTTCACAACGCTCGAATAATTAGGGAGTACTTAAACAATACTTTCCCGAATCGAGTTATCAATGGAATAGGCGATATTAAGTGGCCTGCGCGATCTCCAGATCTTACTCCTACGGACTTCTTTTTTTGGGGACATTTAAAAAGCATCATCTACGATCATCCTGAGGTTAGAGCTCAAAATTTGGATGAATTAAAAAACCGAATAAGAGAAGTCACCAATTCTGTTACAGCAGAAACTCTTACATCCTGTCAGTTTAAGTTTTTATCACAGGTTGGGATACTGTTCAGCCTTAGAAAGTCAAATATTTGAATCATTTCTGTAGGGCCTAAAGAATTATTTATTTTTTTAGAAATTATTTTTTATTTTCAATAAGAATATATTTTTTGTTTTATCTTTTTAAAGAAATGTTCGTTTATTTTTAATTCAACCACAAAAAATTGTTTAGATTATTAAAAACCGATACAAATGCACCGCCTTATAAAGGTCAGTGTATCTTTTATCGAGTTTATGCTATACGAAATAAACCGGGTATACGCAAGGAAAACAAAAATCGACGGATGGAGTTGCATATTGCTTGCGTTGTTATGTGTTACTAAATGGTTTTCTGTTTAGGAGTTTAGGTGTCGGAAGGTATTGGAGAATTTACTTCGTACCGAGGAAATGTTGCCGATTTTAGCGCTTTATGTAGTTTGCAATATATAATCCAAAACTTAACGTACTGTATAGGCTTCTTCATAAGTCGCTCTGACGAGCTTAATAAGGTCGAAATACTATAAGCGGATGGCAGGAGCACTGCATTGAAATTAAATCTCAAACGTCTTTCTGCTCGATTTGAATTATTTGTTGTCAACCGATACCTGTGAATAAAGATATTTCTATTACTCTATAATGCTTTAGAATTTTGCAAAATGATTTTTGCTCTATAGCGACACCGCCTTGTGAATAAAAAACGATTATTAAAACTACATAAAATTACCTGCAAAAAAGTTTTAATGGGAATTTAAGTTTATAGCGTTTAATACAGTGATAAATAAGGAAGTGTTTCTTAAACACTTAGTTACTGCTATATATCGGTTTGCCTTAACATTTAAACTTTTTGATTGTGACTGATATTTAAAAGTAAAATAAAAACAATATATATTCAATGTCGATAACTGCCAATTAATACACATACTAAAAGGATCTATTCAATTTTACTTACCGCTTTTTGTACTCGTTAAGGAAATTAACGCTTGTCTCAAGCCTTTCACTTGGATTTTTCAGGATAATTGTAGCAAAACATTTACACAGTTTGCACAACACTACAGGTTTATCATTCAACTTGAGAGGTATTCCGTTTTCGTTAAGAACTCTATTTAATTCAGTTGTCTCTGGACCCAAATATTGGACATGGTTTCTGGCCAATCTTCTTTTGCACATCGCGCAAATCATGAGATGTTCCAAGGCTGCGTAGTGTTGGTCACAAATGGGGATAGAGTGCAGTCCTGGATTGTCCAGATCGATATTTATCTAAAAAAACGCAAACTTAAAGAAAACTGAAGGTTTTTTTGAAGTATTTTAACTTACCACTTGGCAAATACTTTTCCTCATCTTTATAATCCATTTTCTTCGCAATATATTCGATGATTCTCTATTACATCCTAAAACGTGGCAGTGATTCTGTCTAGGGCCAGGTGCAACCAATGAATTCCGTTTGAGAGATTTATTCATGTAAGAAGGTGTATTTGATTTTCGATCAACATGTCGGTAACAAGCATCGCACAGACAGGAATCTCGTGTTAAATGTGTCTCAGCTAAAATAATTTATATTTTTTTAGGTTAACGCTATTAAAGTTAAATATTAAATCTACAGATTTCAAATATACATTTAGCTAACATCAAATACACCAAACATTTGATACAACTGAGATTATTTTGATCGAACTGGAATTAAGCCAATATTGATGCTTGAAGGCAAAGAAGAATAAGTAGAAATTAATAATATCTAATACAACATAATTTACACTTTAGAATCACTTAATAATATCAAAATTGCATATAAAACGGTACTAACAGTTAACAAAGTTTTTTTCCAAACTTAAAGACCAATCCTCACTCTTATCTTTAACGGATGTTGTTTATTGTATACCGTGCGGATCATGTGAACAAGTATAATACGGTCAAACATCAAGATGCCTTAAAACCGCATTACATCGCACAAGTCTGATAATAGATTACATCCAGAAAGAAGTGCATTGGGTGAACATGCATATAAAAATGGGCATCGGATAGATTACAATAACATCAAAGTAGTAGAACAGGAAAGTAACATCACCAAAAGACTTTTTCTTGAAATGGCCTACATTTGCCAAAATACCAATGCAATGAATCATAGAACGGATATGGTCATCTAAATGAATTGTTCTCCTATTTGTTACTACTAATAAATGCAACAATAACACAAACAGTAATTTATCAATTGACTTTTAATAAATTAAATAAAAGTTTTTCTTTTTTTTAATTGTTTTTAAATTTAGTAATTTTTGTATACACACAGATACTGGGTCATAAAAAACAATATCATATTCAATTGTAATATTTTTAGAATTATGACCTTATTTCTTTAGGTTAATTTAATAAATTTTGTGTTGAAACATTGACAAGTTAAAGTTTCACTTCTTTATGATATTAATAAATATAAAATAATTTATATTGCCACAATACATTTAATGATAGGCCTATAATTTGTTGTACTAATATCTAATAATAAAAACCACTGAATTGTCTTGAGAAAAAACTAATGACGATATAATAAAATTAAGAATAAAAATGTCAGAAATGTGTGTATAATAAGTGTTTGTGATTGTAAAGCAATTTTTAAAAATTTTTAAATATAGGAATAAGTTTTATGTAAAAATATGACAGACTGTGATAAGTTTTATCGAAATTGTAGAAAATCATTGATGATCCAACCTCATTAAGTTTGTAAGTAGCGAATTTTTAATTAATTATACAAACTTGTAACAAACTATTCATCACATTTGTAGCTCCCTGATGAAGGACATAACCATGTCCGAAAGCTCGGAATAAAAATTTAAAAGAGTACACGTATATATATTTACATAATATAAACAAATGCCATCAAGACTTTGCTTCCCTAGTATCACCGCTCTTCTCGTTTATCGCAGCTTCAAAAGCAACGTCTTAAGCCTAACGGTTTTTCTATATTTCAATGCCCGTCATTGCACTACTGACTGAAGCGAATTGTAATTGATTTAATATGTACATATTTGAATAGGTTTCAACATTACACTGTTACGTTATATACTCTATTTAAAAACCAATTAAAAATACTTACTTGCTAATATTTTATTCTGTCTATCTACACTTTTCATTTGAGCGATATGGCATGGGGTGTCAAACAGACCGAATTTTCCAAAGCAGTATGAACATTCATCCTTACACAATCTTCCAGATGTATACTAAAGGAACTCGCCTTTTCTGGAATAACGAGAGCTTTAATTGTGCCATCTTGAGTCGTTGTTTCGCCATCAGAGGTATGCTCACTGCTGCCATCTGTTAAGAAATAAAACAAACACTAAATATTGGATCATTACTAAAGTATTGCTAAAAGTGGAGTGAAGAGTGAAAAATTAGAGTGTTAGAAAGTTAAGTCTACGAATAAAACTGTTATTTAGATTATTATCCCTGATTAAAAATGCTGTATGACATATTACTGCGATTAAAAAAGCTTTTTCATTTCCAGCAATTGAATTGTTACCTGGCACTCATATCAAAGTTACTTTCTTGCGTTCCGACAACTGTGACTCACAAGTATAAATACAACTGTCTGATAAAATAAAGACTTGCCCTATGAGTTTTCTTGGTCGAGACCTTCTTGGCACCTATATCTATAGCATGTATTTCTGCCTGACAGATAGATAGGCGTTTTTAATTGATTTGGATAGCCTGAGATTGGGCCCAGTTACTCCCACTCCTGCCTTTTCATCTATCTCAGATCTATCCGTATACCATACGAGTGAACCTTCTTCCAGTTTCGGTTCAACTTCTTCGTCCATTTGGTGGTTTTTAAGAACACTTAACCATTGACGATTTGTGTTAAGACACCTCCTAATCCAGTATTGCTAGCGTCATATTGGATTATAAAAGATTTAGAAAAATCAGGTTGAGTAAGGACAGTTGCAGAGCTACGAGTTTCCATAAATAAAATGAAGGAGTCTTCAGCGGATTTAGTCCAGTCTACTGACTGTTTCTTCTTTTTACATTTTAATAGGTCACTTTTATAAGAGAGACAAGGATCGAGAAATTATTTATAAATCTCCTATACCAGGAACACATTCCAATAAATCTTTTAGCTTCCGTAAAAGTTTTTGGACAGGGATAAATTAATCATCACGGATGATTTTTCCGGATCAGTTCTTAACGAGATTATCTTCGACAATATAACCCAGAAATCTGAATTCAGATTTGAACAATTCACACTTATCAATTTTTTTTAACCTATTCTCTATCCTTCCATTGTTGGATATAGGTCTCCCCAGTTCTCTCCATCTTTCCCTATTTTGAGCTGTTCTCTGCCATGTGGGACCTCCTTGTTTTCTGATGTCATCTTTCCACCTCATCTGTGGTCTGCCTCTTGATCTCTTTGCATTGCATGGACGCCACTTTCCGATGGCATTGTTCCATCGTCTGTCTTGGAGACGTTCATTGTGTCCAGCCCATTTCCATTTCTGTTTTGCTGCTTGTTCTATCGCGTCTACTGTCTTTGTTCTGGTTCTGATCCACTGGTTACGTTTTCTATCTTTAAGTGATACACCCAACATTTGTCTCTCCATCGCTCTTTGTGCCTTCCTTATCCTATCCAAATTGCCTGTGTAAATGTCCATGTCTGTGCTCCGTAGGTGATCACCGTATTATACAGGAGTTATATACCTTGCTTCGTAAGTATAGAGGGATTGTTTGATTTTTTAGAACGTAAGAAAGTTTGCCGAACGCTACCCATCCCATTCTTACTCGTCTCGATATTTCGGCTGTTTGATTTTCTCTGTTAGCTCTGATTGTTTGTCCTAGCATTTACCTGTTCTATTTTTTCTGATTGTATTTTTATTGCCTCTTGGTCTTCCGTGTTTGTCATTACTTTTGTTTTGTTGAAGTTAATTTTTAGCCTTTGTGCAGTGATTTTTCATGAAGTTCATTCAGCATTAATTCCAGTTCTTGTCGTTCCGAGGAGATCAGGAGTATATCATCCGCATATCTAAGGTGATTAAGGTATTTTCCGTTAATGCATATTCCTCTGTTTTCCCAATCTGTTGATTTTATAATGTCTTCGATGGTTAAGGTAAACAGTTTAGGTGAAATTATATCGCCTTGTCGGACTTCTCGTTTAACTTTTATAATGTCCGTTATTAATTTGTCGTCCAGAATTACGTCATGTTGCGTTTTGGTAAATATCATGTATCAATTGTCGGTATCTTGAATCTATTCTACTATTGACCAGAGCTTCTTCAACCGCCCAGTGTTCAATGCTGTCGAAAGCCTTTTCATAATCTACGAATGCTAAGTACAGCGGAAGGTTACATTCATTGGTTTTCTCAATTAAGATTTTAAGCGCATGTAGATAGATGGTCGATTGTGCTGTATCCTTTCCTGAATCCGGCCTGTTCCACTGGTTGGTAGTTATCAAGTTTATAGGTTAGTCGGTTGTTTATTATTCTTGTGAAGGTTTTATATAGCTGTGACAAAAGGGAAATAGGACGGTTGAAATATCAATATTGATAGTTAAATTAGCCTCTTTTAACTTATTTTTAATATGTTCTTAGAAATTATCGGTTTAAGCCGAATTGCATAAGAAAAAAGGCATGACAGTAAATTGAAAGGAACGTCTCCCGATGACAATAAAAGCTGGTTTTCTCTCGAAGAGGGATCTAAAGGAATTTGGCAGGAAGCTTTTCTCAAGTCAACGGAACTTATAAATTTGGTACCCTTCAGTAAAGCAAGAATCCTATCAATATTAGGCAAAGGTTACTAGTCTCGTTTAGTTACCTCATTGAGAGCTCTACCGTCGAAACAAAAGCGATACTCTCTGTTATTTTTCTTAACTAATAGTACCGGTGAACACCATGGACTATTAGAAGGTTTAATAACACGTTTTTTAAGAGGTTTCGCGTCTCCGGTAACAATATTCATCTGGATTTTACCCGTGTGGCCTAATCCATTCATATTGCTAATTTGGGAGAAAGATTCGATAGTACTTGTCGGGATGTATCTTTGATCTGAACTTAAATGATCTATGGTACATAAAGATACTTCATCCAAGTCATTATCGATATCGGTATTTAACTGAAAATCGTAAAAGCCATTGGTGAAATTACTTAGACGATTTTTAACAACGCATATAGAAACAGAAAAAAAAAAAGAAAATTAGTTTACAATCAGGGATAATAAACCATTAAATATCCTGCTAAAATTGGTTAAACTTAAACGTGTCCCTTCATAAAAGTTATAGTTTCAAATATCGAGCAATCACATACATCTACCTACTTCTTAACCAAAATTCTTCGTTACTAAAATAACTTTGTTATTGATCAGCGCACCTTTTATAATTATTTGATATTTCAATTTGTTTAAAGTCTTTTTTAATATTTAAGGCCCATTCAGAAAATAAATATTCAATTTTTGGATATTCTAATGTATATCACTAAAAATAAAACTGAGTTTTGCGTCAATCAATAGTTCATACTTAGTGTGACCAACTGGTCCGAAAAATCCGGGACATGGCCCGAATTACGAAGTC